TATTCTAGTTCTTCTGACAGTTGCCAAGTTTTCCAATGACGCTTTGTTTGACGCTGTTTTGTCCGTTAGAAAAGAAGCGTCAGGCGTGGTTTACTAGGTTTACTCTTCTAACGAATTTTCGGAAATAAATGTGATAATGATATACTCTGGTTAGTGGTTATAAATATATAACATTTTTCCAGGCGCGCAAATGGGGGGGGGGGGCCAGGCCCCCCCTAGCATGATTAAGGGAAGGGGTAAACCCCTTAAAAAGGTTTGCAGGGGGGGGGCAAGAAGTTCTTAACAGGGCTCCATATAGTTCAAAAAATAGCTAATTTTCTCGAAATTTGAAAAAAATGCCAAACAAAACAGTAACCCTTAGTTTAAAGAAACCTCTTCATATATTTTGAAAATGCCTTAAATAAAAAAAAAATTTGACCCCAAAATAAAGATTTGAGATTTCCCGTACACAAAATTGCCCAAACTGAATAAAAACCAAAAATAAAATTTGCCCTTAAAGCAAAGATTTTAGATTTCCCCCAACTGAAAAAATTCCCCACAAAAACAAAATTTGCCCCTGAAATATAAATTAAATATTTTTCCCACACATATTTGTCTCAAGCTAAAAAGAATGCCCCCCGTAATATAAATATTTGCCACAAAAATATTCTGAATTGGTAAGGTNCCCCCCCCCTCCCCTTCCCAAATGTCTAGTTGCACGCCTGTATTTTTCCCGGGCTTTTTCAATATGATATAAAATATAAATACTGATACAAATCTTTAAAAATCCTGTCATTGAAACTTGAAAGAAACTGATGAAAGGTAATTATGATTTCGCCCAAAAATTTTATTTTTATTAATTTTTATTCATCAATAAACATGGTATTTTTTGGTTCACATAATTTTTAGCTATGCATGCATACTTGCCGCAAGATTTTGACAAATACTTCAAATCAAAGAACTCCCATCCCTATTAATAGCCTTTACTTTCAATTAAAGTATTTTAAAATCCCACAGTTAAAAGTAAACATTTTGTATCTTTCATTTTGTCCTAAAACCTTACAACATCCTGATCATATAAAGCATCTCTGTTCTAATATAAAAATGTTGATATATGACAGGTTAGTTTATTATTTTTACAATGTCAAGATTTGAGGTCCCGACCTAGTCAGGCGCGCCTATATCCTACCGAGGGTAGAACAGCAGTTGCAATCATGTGTCCGAGCCACATTATTTTTAATCTCATTGTCATCAAAATCTTTTATTTTGCAACATTCTTATTAGACCCTCTTAGTCATTTTTAATTTGTTATAAAATTTTCAAGTTTGTTGTGGTTTGGGTTCAGGATTGCGGCTAAGAGTTAGGGTTGCAGTAGGTTGCCCTCCACTCCGTATCAAACTATGGGTCTAGCTATTAATCTTCAATAAGCTTTAGGGTATACGATTAAAGATATAGGCCTCCTATACAATATTAAAGATTCAGATCTATAAAATAATCATTTTCAGAGAATTGTTGCAATATCTAATTTCCAGAATAGCGTATGATCAAAAATGTCGTGTATTGTGGTGAATTTATATATCTATATCTGTAATTTTTGAAGGAAAAGTGGTCAAGAATTAACAATAATGTACATAAAAAAAACCGTTGACAGTTTGTAACTTTATTAATTAGCATGGTACACTGTAATAATGTAATTTTGTTATAATGTATCTCCATATATGGTTTTTATAGTGTTATCATCAAATTATCCCCCATCAACCAATTAACAAGAACCTTTAACCCCCTCCTCCTCCCCCTGGCGCCTTTGCTCCCCCCACACTTCCTTACACTTCCCTCATTAACTATTCTTATCAATACTTTCCCTTTTCAGCCATAATACCCCCCATATATATATATATATATATTGGTGCATCTCTGATAAAATATCAAAGTCATACTGATAAAAACTGTAAGGCCTCTTTCTGCGTATTCATTATTTTTTAATCCTGTCATTTTTATTTGTTTAATCGTGACTTAATTGTTTGCTCAAAGGAAGAACGTTAAAGTTTGAAATATTCTTGAAAACAAAGATAATCTTTATCTATGAGAAATAAAAATGTGGCCGTTTTGATTTAATCAAAGAAAACATAAAAGTGCACACAAGTACAAATATCTAATTTCACTAATCTAAACTGCTACATGAACATGATAATGCTAAAACAAAAACAATGCACAATTGCACATCGTACATTATGCCAAAAATCTATAAATCTTGCCAATGCATTTCAACAAATATGATTAAATAAATTACCATAACACCCTTGCAAATCCCCCCCAAAAATTTCCGCATATAACCTCAAAACATGCCTCCCATTCAATTCAAATCCTTGAACATATTCCCATATATTCCCAAAACATGCCTCCAATCCAACTGAACTAGCTCCTTGAACATATTCCGATATATTCGCCTCCTATTCAAATCCTTGAACATATTCCCATATTTTCCTTAAACATGCCTCCAATCCAAATCCTTGAACATGTTCCCATATTTCCAAAAACATGCCTCCAATCCAAATCCTTGAACATGTTCCAATATATTCCCAAAACAAGCCTCCTCTCCAACTCCTTGAACATGTTCCCATATATTCCCAAAACAAGCCTCCTATCCAACTCCTTAAACATGTTCCCATATATTCCTTAAACATGCCTCCAATCCAAATCCTTGAACATGTTCCCATATATTCCCAAAACATGCCTCCAATCCAACTCAGGGGTCAATATAATTCCCTATTTAAAATTCAGTGATGGTGATGGACCAAACCTCTGTAGAGTAAAAAAGTAGATGTTAGTTCCACAGTTATTGAAAATATATTTCGGTCTGGGTTGACCCTCGTCAGTTCTTGAGATTGTTTCTTCACAAAGATTAAATATAATTCCCTTTTCAATCCCATTTGGGATTGACGAATTTGAAAGAAATGGGGGCAAATTCTTTAATTGGGGGCAAATTTTTTTATATGATAATTAAAAAAAAAATTGGGGGCATTTTTTTTAAAAATTGGGGGCATTTTTTTCAAATTGGGTGCAATGTGGGCAAATGTGTTAGTGGAATTTAAAAAAAAAATTTTAACTGGGGGCATTTTTTTTAAAAAATTGGGGTCAAAAAATTATTTTGGGATCGAGAAAATCAGCTTTTTTGGGAATTATATTGACCCCTGATCCAACTTAGTAAACATGTTCCCATATATTCCAAAAACATGCATCCAATCCAAATCCCTGAACATGTTCCCGTATATTCTTTAA